GGCGCGCCATCCCGGCTGTGTCTCGGATCGATCTCGGCTGCAACCTCGGCCGCACCTCGGCCGCACCCTCGGCCGCACTTGGCGGCAGGTGCGTGACGCGGCTCGGCCGCACGCCTGCTGCGTGCTGCTGCAGTTCGTGTCGAGCGGCCTCGCGGAGCACTCTGGCGTGAGTTTCGCGGACATGTCCAGGACAGGTCCATGACATGTCCGACGCACTTCCCGTAGGAGCGCTTCCGGCGCGACTTTCACGGCCGGCGCTTCAACTCGCTCGAGCCAGAGGTGCAGCCGAGATGCAGCCGAGATGCAGCCGCCTGAGATCTCCCGAGATCACCCGAGATCACCCGAGATCGCCCGAGATCACCCCGGCAGGTGCTGCTCGCAGTGCACGTCGCCGAGATCGAGTTTGCCAAGCCGCAGCCGCCGCCGCCGCCCGACGTGCGCGTCTCTCTCCACCTGCTCGTCACGACGCTGCAGCGCGGCATCGACGGCGCGCTGCAACCCGCAGGTGGCGCCGAGACACTTCCTAGACTCTTCCTAGACACTTCTGGGAAGCGCCGCCGAGGCACTCCCTAGACACTTCCTAGACACTTCCTAGACAACTTCTGGGAAGTGCTGCGGCGTGGCCACCCGCCGGCGGGTGGCGCGAGGTGCACGTCCACGACACGTCCACGACACGTCCCACATAGGCACGCCCGCCGGCTGGTCTGGGGAGACGGGCTCGGAGCGGACGCCGAGGTCCGGCAAGGAGCCGCGCAGCCCGGCGCTCGAGGAGTGGCCGGCATCGCGCGAGGAGGAGAGGCAGCTGCAGGCCGAGAGCCAGCCGAGAGCCAGCCGAGAGCCAGCCGAGAGCCAGCCGAGAGCAAGCCTGCCGAGAGGTGGCCGAGAGCCAGCCGAGAGGTAGCGCTTGCGCGAGGAGGAGAGGCAGCTGCAGTCGCGCTCGCGAGCTTCATCTCGGCAAGATCTCGCCCCCATCTCGCCCTCATCTCGCCCCCATCTCGCCCCGGTCCGCAGGCCGCCATCCGCCGCTCTCTCCGGCCCGCGACGCCGCCGCTCGGGGTCGGTCTGCTCGGAGAGAGTGCGGCGGAGGGCGCGGGGCCGTCTGGGGATGCCGGCGGGGCGAGCGAGGCGGCGGGGGCGGCGGAGGAGACGGCGGCGGGCGGGCCGGCGGGCGGGGCAGGGGAGGCGGAGGGTGGCGGGGCGGCCCCTTCCTCGCCGCAGACGCCGCAGCAGCGGCCGCCCTTCCGCGTTGTGGCTCAAGTGGTGCCGACGCTCGGCGGCAAGGGAAGGCTGCGGCCTATGCCGGAGGCACCCGCACGCACCTCTCTCCCTCCCTCTCTCTCTCCCTCCCTCCCTCCCCCCCTCCACCGGCCAACCCCATGCGACCCTCCCCTCAGCCTTCTCGGAACTCAGCCTTCTCGGCTGCCGCAGGCGCCTCCTCTGCCTGCGGCCGACCCTGCCCTCGGCGACCCGCGCTCCTCGCCGAGCGGACGCGCGGCGTGGAGCCTCTCCCTGAGCCGTCCTCGACCCTCCTCCCTGCAGGCGACGCCCTCTCGAGAGGCGAGCGCGTCGCAGTCGACCCCGTCGGCGCGGGCAGCCACGCCGTCGCTCTCCGAGCCAGCCGCCATCAGCCGAGAGCTCGTTGTGTTGAGGAGTGCAGGACTGCCCTCATAGGCAGCCACGTCGTCGCGCTCGGAGACAGCAGCGCGGCGGCCGACGGCGGAGCGGCCGTCGAGGGGTCTTCTCGCGGCGGAAGCACGGAGCTTGGCAGCTCGACTGAGCTGCCGCTCTGCGCTGTCTGCCTCGAGCGTCTCGACCCCGAGGTCTCTCTCTCTCTCTGTCCCTCCCCCTCCCTCCTCCTCTCCCTAGGCTCCCCTCCTCCCCAAGTTCTACTTTACGATCC